CGGTTTCAGGCACATATGAACCTGAATCTCTTATGCATGTCAAAGTGCTTGAGAAGGATGAGTTTTTCAGGTATTGTGGGTTAAAGCGATGAAGCAATAACTAATATAGGCTACCCATACCATTATTTATTGTCATTTGAACTAGTTTCAAGCCTTACACACACACATATCACGTAAAACCTACATTAAGCAGTAAAAACCTTGGACCATAACCAAATATTAGTCATCAATCTGAAAATGACTGACAAAGAACTTTTATCCCCAGTAATGGCAGATCTCCACGTGCTGAAGCTTTCCCCAATCTCATCCAATACTGCCCTCTTTATCCCTCCCATCTGCAGGGTTTTTCAGTCCACAGTATATATGAATCATACATGTCCTAAACGTGAGCATGATCTGAGAGATTGAAACACTGACTGGGAGCTGTGTGCGCCACGTGTTCATGCTTTAATGAAGCACCTGCATATTTACAGATGTTAGCATCTGTTGCAAGTGCTCTGGTTTGGAGGTTTAATTTTAGAGGAGCAGCCAGATGGTGGACAAGAGGATTACTACGCTAAGCCTTTGTCATCTGCTGCTACACACTGGCTGTTTACAGGCAAATACAAGGTGGACTCCCACCGGTCCCTCATAGTCTGGTCAGAGCGAATGTGGATGACCAATGGTGAAATATGTTCACCAGGTTTTGGCTTATTTTGTAGGAAAACTTAACACCAACATTCCCTGGCATTGATTTTAGACACCGCTCACAATTAATGTCAGCTGCTGCTTGAGTTGCTTATGCATTGGTTGTTTTTGCAGGTAACTGAACTTTTTTGTAATGTTCATGCAAAGTCTAGCAAATACATTTCTTATAGTAGACATCTTAAACTCAATTATTGTTACTATTAGAAGTTTTTCAACTAATTCAATAGATTATCCCATTGTTTGGAATACTACATTCTTTCCAAACATTGTTTGCCCAAAATTATCATATTAAAACAGTCTACAATCACGTCAACGGCATACTTATATTTGATGTTCAACCAGGGTCATTGTAATTTTATGAAGTAATGTTCTGTTTTAAATGTTCATCATGTGCCTTTCCAAGAAGTTCACTGACTAGAAAATGAAAGCAGTTTAATAATTGATTTAAGAAGAAATTAGGAGAACCAAAACTCCTCTGTAAAAGGATTCTAACAAAATAAACCACAGGGTGAGAATATGATTTATTACTATGTATTATATTCTTATTATAGAGCCCACAAATATAAATACGCATTCACCTAATGATGAGGCCTATAACACACCACAGAAACATTCACAGTGTAGGGTGGAAACAGCATGTGAACACCAAGGCTAATGACTGACTCGAAAAGCTAAACTAAGTAAAAAAAAAGAGTTAAGCTAAGAGTCAGCCAACCTTGAGTCCAATTCATGAGATGAGATTAGAGGTGTTTGTTAGAGCTGCACTGCCTTATAAAAACACAGCAATTTTAATTTTGCTTTTATTAAGAAGCATTGTCTGAGGTGAATCATGCCTAAAATTAAGAATTGTTGACTTGCATGAAGCTGGAAAGGGTTACAAAAGTATCTCTAAAAGCTATGATGTTCATCAGTCCAGGGTAAGACAAATTGTCTATAAATGCAGAAAGTTCAGCACCTTTGCTACCCTCCCTAGGATTGGCCGTCCTGCAAAGATGATTGCACGAGCATAGTGCAGAATGCTCGATGAGGTTAAGAATAAACCAAGAGTGTCAGCTGAAGACTTACAGAAATCTCTGGAATATGCTGACATTTTTGCTAACACTAAAAAAGAATGGAGTTCATGGGAGGACACTACGGAAGAAGCCACTGCTGTCCAAATGTAAGAAAGTATGGGGGAGGGGGCAACATGGTTTGGGGCTGCTTTGCTGACCCAGGGCCTGGACGGGTTGATCTCATTGATGGAAAAATGAATTCCTAAGTTTATAAAGACATTTTGCAGGAGAATGTAAGGTTATCTGTCCACCAATTGAAGCTCAACAGAAGATGAGTGATGCAACAGGACAACGACCCAAAGCACAGAAGTAAATCAACAACAAATTGGCTTCAGCAGAACAAAATATGCATTCTGGAGTGGCCCAGAGAGAGTCCTGACCTCAGTCTGATTGAGATGCTGTGGCATGACCTCAAGAGAGCAATTCACACCAGACATCCCAAGAAAATTGCTGAACTGAAACAGTTTGTAAAGAGGAGTGGTCCAAAATTCCTCCTGACCGTGTTTCAGGTCTGATCTGCAACTACAGTAAACGTTTGTTTGAGGTTATTGCTGCCAAAAGAGGGTCGACCAGTTATTAAATCCAAGGGGTCACATACTTTACCCACCCTGCACTGTGAATGTTTACATGGTGTAAAAACATACAATTGTTTGTGTGGTATTAGTTTAAGCAAACTGTGTTTGTCTATTGTTGTAACCAGTGCTTGAACCGCACTATCCTATTCAATTGCATTGCATGTTTTCTTATTGTGCATTGTTTCATTTGTTATTTAACATTTCTAGTTGCTGTTGTTCGGAACATTTTTAACAAAAGCTTTCAATAAGTGATGGAGACATTCTGATTCTGACCTGTCCCCAGCAAAAATGACATCTATCAGTCAATATTTTTAAATGTCCCACCCCATCCAGGCTGTGATTGACAAGCTACAGTGAGGAAAATAAGTATTTGAACACCCTGCTATTTTGCAAGTTCTCCCACTTAGAAATCATGGAGGGGTCTGAAATTGTCATCGTAGGTGCATGTCCACTGTGAGAGACATAATCTAAAAAAAAAATCCAGAAATCACAATGTATGATTTTTTAACAATTTTTTTGTATGATACAGCTGCAAATAAGTATTTGAACACCTGTCTATCAGCTAGAATTCTGACTCTCAAAGACCTGTTAGTCTGCCTTCAAAATGTCCACCTCCACTCCATTTATCCTAAATTAGATGCACCTGTTTGAGGTCGTTAGCTGCATAAAGACACCTGTCCACCCCATACAATCAGTAAGAATCCAACTACTAACATGGCCGAGACCAAAGAGCTGTCCAAAGACAGTAGAGACAAAGTTGTACACCTTCACAAGGCTGGAAAGGGCTACGGGGAAATTGCCAAGCAGCTTGGTGAAAAAAGGTTCCACTGTTGGAGCAATCATTAAAAAATGGAAGAAGCTAAACATGACTGTCAATCTCCCTCGGACTGGGGCTCCATGCAAGATCTCACCTCGTGGGGTCTCGAATGATCCTAAGAAAGGTGAGAAATCAGCCCAGAACTACACGGGAGGAGCTGGTGAATGACCTGAAAAGAGCTGGGACCACCGTTTCCAAGGTTACTGTTGGTAATACACTAAGACATCATGGTTTGAAATCACGCATGGCACGGAAGGTTCCCCTGCTTAAACCAGCACATGTCAAGGCCCGTCTTAAATTTGCCAATGACCATTTGGATGATCCAGAGGAGTCATGGGAGAAAGTCATGTGGTCAGATGAGACCAAAATAGAACTCTTTGGTCATAATTCCACTAACCGTGTTTGGAGGAAGAAGAATGATGAGTACCATCCCAAGAACACCATCCCTACTGTGAAGCATGGGGGTGGTAGCATCATGCTTTGGGGGTGTTTTTCTGCACATGGGACAGGGCGACTGCACTGTATTAAGGAGAGGATGACCGGGGCCATGTATTGCGAGATTCTGGGGAACAACCTCCTTCCCTCAGTTAGAGCATTGAAGATGGGTCGAGGCTGGGTCTTCCAACATGACAATGACCCGAAGCACACAGCCAGGATAACCAAGGAGTGGCTCTGTAAGAAGCATATCAAGGTTCTGGCGTGGCCTAGCCAGTCTCCAGACCTAAAACCAATAGAGAATCTTTGGAGGAAGCTCAAACTCTGTCTTTCTCAGCGACGGCCCAGAAACCTGACTGATCTAGAGAAGATCTATGTGGAGGAGTGGGCCAAAATCCCTCCTGCAGTGTGTGCAAACCTGGTGGAAAAACTACAGGAAACATTTGACCTCTGTAATTGCAAACAAAGGCTACTGTACCAAATATTGACATTGATTTTCTCAGGTGTTCAAATACTTATTTGCAGCTGTATCATACAAATAAATAGTTAAAAAATCATACGTTGTGATTTCTGGATTTTTTTTCTTTTTTAGATTATGTCTCTCACAGTGGACATGCACCTGTGATGACAATTTCAGACCCCTCCATGATTTCTAAGTGGGAGAACTTGCAAAATAGCAGGGTGTTCAAATACTTATTTTCCTCACTGTACATTCAGCACACGGCTGCTTGAGAGGCACCAGAGCTTCTCAATCTCCCTCGTCTCTCTCCTTCGACAGAGATTAGCAGGCAGGCGAGAACGGGAACAGGTGAGCATAACGTAGCCCCCAGAGAACCTGATATGGAGAGAGCAGAGGAGAGTACCGGAAGATTGGGAGTAGTCCCGGTACGCAAGAAAATGTCACAAAGCCGGCACTGCTTACCGGGGCATTCCGGCCCACTTCAAGCACTGGTTGTGACTTAGATGAAGATCAGGTCAAATTTTATGAACAATTTATACAGAAATCCAGGTATTCCAGTGGTTTCACATGCTTTTTCTTGTAACTGTTTATAAATGGCAATAGGATTTTTCCACATTATTTTGACTTGCCGTAGTAGTAAGGGTGGCGATGGCGCAATGGATAAGACACATAATGCCTTTGGTGTGAGAGACCCAGTTTCAATTCCCTGCTGTGACACATCCACCAATGTGTCCCTGAGCAAGACATTTAACCCCTAGTTGCTCCAGAGCATAGACTGTAGGCCTGTATAAAGAGCTCCAGAGGTGTGCGACCTCTGATATATAGCAATTGTAAGTCACTTTGGATAAAAGCGTCAGCTAAATGAATAAAGGTAAAGTAGCAAAAGCACAGGTGTTACTAATATTAACAATGGTGTTGTCCCAATAAGTCCAGACAAGTAACCCCCCCCCCCCAAAAAGACAACTGCAACATCACACTTTTGAGTTGTTTATTGAATGATTCCATTGTTGAAATTGTTGTAGAAGAAGTGCAATATCAGTGTATTCTGGAGGAAGTGCATACAGCACACTCATTTACTGTACTGAGTCTGGAACAGTCTATGGTTGACATACATCATGTGTTGCATTTCCCAAATATTCTTGAACTGTCTTATTAGAAACAGAAACACAACTAAGTGCAAATAAATAGAAACCATAAAGGATACATAGGACATCTGGTGCAAATGAAATTATGCAGACCGATTTAACGCGTCTGTAATCCTCAGGATAAACCAGATACTTACACAATCAAGGTAAGACCACTCACTGTGTTCTCAATGTACAACAATCTGTCTTTCTTCTTTGTACCAGAGTGCAATCTTCTTCTTCGCACACTTGCAAAGCATTCATGTTTATTTACCAGTTATATAAGAAGTGTCCCTAATACCTGGCATATGCTGCTAGTAATAAAACATGACTTTGTTCAACTCTGTGGAAGGTAATACTGAAGCTGAAGTCAGAATGTTGCGGTTCACTTCTTTCTGCCGGCGCCGCCGTTGGCCAGAATCATCACCAGTCTCATGAAGATGTTCAATGTGTCCATGTAGATCCCCATACACCTGTAAGATTAAAATGGATATGAGCTCTATACCTTGTAAGTAAATCACTAACATTAATTTGCAGAAACCTGCATTTCAATTCTACTTGAATACTTCCTTGAGTGACTTACGCATTAATGGGGTCGTATTTCTGTACGCCATAGAGTGGGTGTGTCTCTGCCCTCTTGATGACCTTCTGTGTATCATAGAGGAGGAACATGCTAAACAGCACCAGGCCTCCATAGATGGCCACTGAGTACAGGCCTGCTCCAAACGCTGAAGTGGGTGGGAGGAACATTGAGCCTGAAGAAGAAAGGAACATTCGCTGAGAGTTGTATTTTAGGCTTGGGCTTAGAGCTGAGCAATAAAACAATAATGATTGCAATATAATTTTCCTCAATAACAATATAACAAAAGTTCAACAAATGTTCATTTGAATAATTAACAAATTAGCACTTAATCGTTCCATCAAGATATTTATTTTGTTAAGGAAAAGAGACTGAAAAGATTTTATCATAAATGTTCTACCAAGTGTTTGTCATGTTCTGACCATAAAGAATAGTTTAAAACCACAATTAACCATCTAGTTTCTTCAATATTGAAAGTCAAGATTTAAACTCACAAGAAATAACACCACAACACAGAGCCACTGTAACGCAAATGAAACGCATCTGGTTTACACATTCAACGTTTAGTCTGAATATTGAGTGCAGACAATCCTGGAGAATTACTTTGTAACGTGAACGTCAGTGTGTTTCTATGGTTTACCTCATGACTGTGGAACTGGAGGATATAGTTACCGACATTGCGGTAACTTTTCAGAGGTATTAAATCTTGTCTCAAACCATAATGTAATACTGTCAATCAATCAATCACAATTTATTTATAGAGCACTAACAGCAACCATGAAGTAGCACAAAGTGCTGTACAGGTTTACAGGTTATCACATAATGTATACAGTTAAAAACACTAACAAATGAGTTCCAGGTGTCATCATCCTCAAGGGTCAAAAGGCAGATGGAAGAGATGGGTTTTAAGACAAAGTTTTAAAATCAGACAGTTAGGAAGCCTGTCTAATGGTAAGAGGAAGGGCATTTCACAGTTTCGGAGCTGCCACCGCAAAAACACGTTCCCCTTTAAGTTTGCGATGAGTTTTTGGCACTCTCAGGAGAAGTTTGGATGAAGCAGCTCAGATAAGTAAGGGGTGGCAAGGCCATTCAAGGATTTAAAAGTGAGTAAAGGAAGTTTAAAATCGATCCTAAATTGAATGGGTAGCCAATGGAGTGAACGTAGAACTGGGGAGATGTGTTCATATTTACGTGTTCCCGTTAGAAGACAAGCTGCAGTGTTTTGCACCATCTGGAGACGGCGAGAGACAATCCATTCATCCCCAAAAAAAAGTGCATTGCAGTAATCTAGTCTAGTAGTCACAAAGGCGTGCATAACGGTCTCAAAATTCTGCTTAGAAAGAATAGGTTTCAACTTCGACAGCTGTCTTAATTGAAAGAAACTAGATTTAACCACTAACCCAACGTGTTTATTCAGTTTCATATCAGCATCAATTTTGACTTCTAGGTCAGTAATGGTCGGCATGACATACTGAGCTAGGGGGCCTAGATCGAGGTGAGACCTCTATCACACCATCAACACCTCCGTCTTGTTTTTATTAAAACTTAAGAAGTTAAGGGCCATCCAAGCCTTTATGTTCTCTAGACATGCAAACAATGGTCAGAGTGTCATCCTTACTCAAAGGTACATAGATCTGGCTATCATCTGCATAACAGTGGAAAGAGATGCCATGTTTGGTATGGTCTACCCAAGATGGCGCTGTCTATTGCTGCCTCAGTGTTAGGTGCAGTTTGTTTTGTTTTGTTTTTGTGTGTTCGGTTGTGATTCCCGGAGCTCTTTCACCAGAGAAGAGCTAATAAACATCAGGGGAACAACTCCAGTGTATTTATTTCCCACTTTTATCACGTCATCAGTGGAATTATTGGACATTTTGGTGAAGGGCTCTCTCGTTATTGTTTGCCGAGTGAAGCGCCGTAAGAGAGGGAAACGAGCCGCGTCGCTCGTGCACCTCTGCCAGCAGGGACTCCACACACTGCTACCGGCAATATTTCTCTCCAACGTGCGCTCACTGTGCAACAAACTGGAAAAACTTCAGGTGGGGAAAAACAGAGACTTTTATTCATCTACTGTGCTTCACTGAGATGTGGCTGTGTGGATCAATACCGTACTGCAGCTGCAGCTGGCTGGCTTCCAACTCTACAGAGTGGATCACGACACAGAGCTCTCCGGCAAAACAAAAGGTGGAGGTATCCATTTTTATATCAACAATGGCTGGTGTACCGACGTGACAGTGATTCAGCAACACTGTTCTCCTAATCCGGAATTTTTAATCATAATCGGTGCTTACATTCTGCCGCACGTCAACGTGCACGACACACAGCGTATGCTTGCTGACCAAATACTGTGTGTGGAGCAGACAAACCCGGACTCCCTTGTTTTTGTTCTTGGTGACTTTAACAAAGTAAACCTCAGCCAAGAACTCCCCAAATACAGACAGTTTATAAAGTGTTCAACCAGAGACGGGAACACTTTGGATCACTGTTACACCACAGTTAGCAGTGCCTATCATGCCGTTACACGCGCTCCACTGGGACACTCTGATCATGTCATAAAACTCTGTAAACCTGTAGTGAGGACATCAAAGAAATGGACCAGTGAAGCTGTAGAGGAACTTCAGGCATGTTTGGACTGTACTGACTGGGATGTTTTCAGGACTGCTACAAATAATCTGGATGAGTTTACAGAGGCTTTGACGTCCTACATTAGCTTCTGTGAGGACAGCTGCATTCCAACACGCACCAGTGTGAGTTATAACAATGACAAACCCTGGTTCACAGCTAATCTCAGGCAGCTGAGGTTGGAAAAGAAAGAGGCATTTATGAGTGGTGACCGGGCCAGGTTTAAGGAGTCAAAGAACAGGTTTAGCAAGGCAGTGCGAGATGCTAACAGCTGTATGCAGAGAGACTACAACACCAGTTCTCAAGGAATGACTCTGCTTCTGTCTGGAGAGGATTCAGACAGATCACCAGCTACAAACCTAAATCCCCCCACTCCATAAAGACTCACGCCTTGCCAACGAGTTGAACTAGTTTTACTGTCGCTTTGAAAGACAATGGGACAGACCTGACACCATCCCCTGTCACACCACTGACCAACCACAGTCCACCATCTCATCCCCCAACCCCTCCCCCTCTCTTACCATCCTGGAGAGGGACGTCAACAGACTGTTCAGGAGGCAGAAACCGCGCAAAGCATCTGGGCCAGACTCTGTCTCCCCATCCACCCTGAAGCACTGTGCTGATCAGCTGTCTCCGGTGTTCACAGACATTTTTAACACCTCACTGGAGTCATGCCATGTGCCAGCCTGCTTCAAAGCATACACCATCATCCCTGTCCCCAAAAAACCAAGGACCACTGGACTAAACAACTACACACTCGTCGCCCTGACCTCTGTGATAACGAAGTCTTTTGAGCGCCTTGTGTTGTCCCACCTTAAATCCACCACAAACCCCTGCATTTTGCCTACAGAGCCAACAGTTCTATAGATGATGCGGTTAACATGGCCCTTCACTACATCCTCCAGCACCTGGACTCCCCAGGAACCTACGCCAGGACCCTGTTTGTGGATTTCAGCTCTGCTTTCAACACCATAATCCCGGCCCTGCTGCAGGACAAGCTATCCCAGCTGAACATGCCTGACTCCACCTGCAGGTGGATCACTGACTTCCTGACAGACAGGAAGCAGCACGTGAAGATGGGAAAACAAGGTCTCAGATTCCAGGACCATCAGCACCAGTTCCCCTCAAGGCTGCGTTCTTTCCCCTCAGCTCTTCTCCCTGTATACCAACAGCTGCACCTCCAGTCACCAGTCTCTCAAACTCCTGAAGTTTGCGGACGACACCACCCTCATTGGGCTCATCTGGTGGGGACGAGTCCGCCTACAGGTGGGAGACCGACCATCTGGTGTCCTGGTGCTCAACGCTCTGAAGACAGTGGAGATGGTCGTGGACTTCAGGAAGAGCCCAGGACCTGTATGCCTCCAGGACTTTGAGGCGAGCAGGAAAGATGTCAGCTGACGCCTCCCATCCAGGTCACAAACTGTTTCAGACTCTCCCCTCTGGCAAGAGGCTGCGTTCCATCAGGACCAAAACCTCTCACCACAAAAACAGCTTCTACCCGTCTGCAGCTAGCCTCATCAACAAGGCCCGGGCTCCCCACTAACACTCCCCCCTTTGAAATAATACAATCGTCTCTGCACATGTAAATATCACTTCATGTCATACCATGCACAAACCTGGCACATTGCACATATTTGTTGTTATTTGTAAATCGTTTATAAATCATCATTATTTTTCAGTATATTGTTGTATTATTTTTCTCTATTCTTCTGTTATTCTTAAATAACTTGCATTTGTTTATTACATATTTCTACATTTATTTATGTCAGCTATATGTCTGTCTGCGTGTAGCATCACCAAAGCAAATTCCTTGTATGTGTAAAACACTACTTGGCAATAAAGCTCCTTCTGATTATGAGTCTTCTGATTCTAATGTTTCCTATTTAGCAAAGCTAAGGATGAGATAAAGGGAAAAGAGAAGAGGACCCAGAATAGAGCCTTGCGGGATGCCACAGGAGAGATGGGCCCTGGTAGACGCAGAGTCACCACAGTTGACACTGAATGTCCTACCTTTAAAGTAGGATCGAAACCATTTTAGGGCTATGCCTGTAATGCCCTCTAAACGAGAAACCAGAATTATGAGGGTTTCAACTGCCCAACAATTTCTTGTAATGCAGACAGCGTAACAGGTTCAAATTTTGTAAAAGAAAAAGGGGCAGGGCATTCAGCAAAGAAAGACTGACCGTAAGCTGAGGGTGTGATATGAGCTCTGATAGTATTGACTTTGTCAGTAAAGAAATTTAGGAATTTGCTGGACGTTAAGAACAGAATCAATGGTTTTAAATAAAACATGAGGTTTGCTATAGTTTGCCATGATGATTTCAAAAAAGTACTTTCTTTTAGCCTCTTTCAGGGTTGTTTGATATAGGCGCCAGCAGTCCCTTAATATTTTGAGAGAGACATGTAATTTGTCCTTCTTCCATTTCCGCTCAGCCCTGCGGCATTCACATCTGACAGTGCGAGCCTTGTCATCTAACCAGGGCTCTTTTTTTCCATTGGGCTGTCTAAATTTTAGTGGAGCGACTGTCCTTTACCATTTGACAGGTGGAGTCAAACCATTTGCTGAAGCCCTCTGGATCACTTCTCAGAGTCCAGTAGGACGCGTTTTTGGCTAAAGGCGGATGAGAATTTAACAGCAGTGGAGGGGCTAATAACTCGGCAGCATTTAGCAGTAGCACAAGGTCTGACTGTATTATAGGCCAAGTCAGTCTCAAATAAAACAGGCTTGTGGTACTGTGGAGGGTTTAAGTGTCATGAGTGTCATTCATCCTCATCGACATCTCATTCAATGTGGCGTCTCTCAATCATATTTTATCATCTTATTTAAACTGTCTGTAGTGCATCTGAGACAGGGTTTGTGATGTGTAAGTTAGTGTATTATACTAACCAATAGAGGAAGCGAAGACAACTCCAAAGCCGACAGCCAATGGTCCACCCATATTGAGGAACTTCTCACTTGGGGCACACATGGCCACAGTAGACAGACCTCCCACAATACCTGCTGTGTACCAGGCAGCCCTAATCATCAGAGGCCCTCCCAGGAGAGTGAGTGGAGCGATGACAGCGCCCATCACACCTTATCAATAAACAAAGCAAAAAGACAACTGAATACTACATTCAAAACAAACAATAACAGTAACAAAACAGACCTGTGCCTTATGTCTACATTTAGACAGAGATTTCAAATAGACAGCCTTTACATGACTGCCCTCCAGTGTTCAGTTTAGGCAAGTACATGTGGGAGAACGTAACAGAATAATTGTTTCCCACGAGACATTGTCCTACAAACCTGCGTGGAGCATCCAAGCAAGGTGTTTGGGCACTGGACTGTGCTCATATGAAACGGACCTGACCAGCATGCCGGCACCAATCATAGCCGCGAAGGTTGCTCCAATAGCCTGAGTTAAAACAGACATTCAGGTTAATAACCTGTAAATGCACCTAAAAATGTAAATACACTTGAGTAGCTATTGAAGTGTACTGATATTAGTAAACCACTTTCAATTTAATCAAATAAATGTTCCATTGCAGTGAGAACTAAAAAAAACCCCACATCTATCTCTGTTGGCTCCACTTGAGTTATAAAGCTTACCAGCCAGGATCCTCTCATCATCAGACCCATAAGTGCCGGGGTCCTGCTCACTGCTACAGCTGACAAAGCTGTCAGTCCAACACTGCCTGCAAAGTACATGTACGTGGAATGGATCCTGTCCTTCACATACTGAGGCCAGATGCTGCACAGAGAGGGAAGACCCAGTTGACTATGACGCTCTTGAAAGGTAACAAACACTTTCCATAAACCTGTGGCAAAGAGCTGCCAGAACAAAAAGCTGTTACTCACACTGCTTTCTCAATGGCACCAATTTCATTGGACATGCCGAGTCCATAGTAGCACAGAGCTCCAAGGCCAACTGCAGCACCTCCGGCCAGAAAAATTCTTCCCATGCTGTCAACTGTGGATGCATTTTTTTTTTTTTAGATACACTTCAATATGTAATAAACCTAAACACTCAAAAAATCGTACTAATAATGTGACAGTGGCTGTCACCTGTACAAGTTTTGATTTGTGCTTCAAAGACATTTTGGCATTATGACAATTTAGGTAACCATCAAATAAGGCTCCAAACTAAATAAAATATATGTTGCGGATTGTTTAAAATAGTATGTAATAGTACATTACTTCTAATGGCGGTATCTGTTGCTGGCTCAAAAGCTGCTTCTTGGAGCTGGTCTCTAGCCATCTTCCCACGGCGGAAACCAAATCTGGCCTTAGAGGAATAACCCTGGTGAAAGAAAAATAAATTTTACACAAAACTAAAATTGTTGATTTGGTGGATAGTATTTTATACACAACCTTATTAATCAAAACTGAAAACAATCAGGGAGTGAACATGCATTTGACCAATGTCAATTTGCCTACAAACTAAATGCACAATTTTATTGAACTTAATTTCTTTTACCATTTCACAGTCAAAGTGTTTTGCTTGCCTTTTTATTGAGACAAACTTCAACTGAGAACAAAAGGTGTTCAGATTAATTAAAGGGACTGATGGGACAAGACGCTTGCAATAAGGTTCAAATTTGTGACCCATCAACAACAGGACACTTTTTTGTCTTGACTTATGTCAGACATTTAAATTGCTGCCAAAATATCTAATTCTAATCTAATCTAATTCTGTAAGTAAGTTTACATAACAAAATGGAGATGAGGGCTTTTCTGGCATTTAGGATGTTTCTGTCCAATTTATAGATGGTGTGTCCTGCCTTCACCAGTAAAAGATACATAAACAATAAAAATATGCATGATTAATTCCTAATATCTCTTGTCAAGGAAACACAGAATTGGATTTATTAAAATATCAAAGGGATTTTAGGGTTAGTGTATAATACAAAATTTTTTGGGGTGTTTACATTCAGTGTTCACTATGTGATGTATTTTGTAGTTAAAGGTTCAGTGTGTAATATTTCTGAGTATTTATTGACAGAAATGCAATATAATATCTATCACTATGTTTTCAGTGGTGTATAAAGACCTTACATAATGAACCATTATGCTTTTATTACCTTAGAATGAGACATTTTTATCTACATAACCGCGGTCACCCCCTTCTATGGAGGTCGCAGTATTGTGTCGTCATGTTTCTACAATAGCCGACAACGGACAAACAGCGCTACAGAGCGTGTTTCGTCATTACGGCGTTCTTCTTCTGCCCTGGTGGAAAACATATATTTATTTTACTGCTAATAGTGACACATAACATGACCGTGTGCCTATCAAGTGACCAATAATGAATACTTTCCCGAATTTGCATTAAAAAAAAAATGTTTTTTTGGATAGTGCTTTGCCACTGTGCACACAAATGCGTAATTTGTACTTTCACATGCTAAATGTCCATTAAAAACATAGCACCATTTTACCACAAGCAGAAATTATGGCTGTCAATACTGCTTTGTGTTTCTGTTGTATTTAAAAAAATTAAAATAGACATTTTGGTAAGATTTGCAGATTGCTTATGTTATTAATTAAGCAAAACGAGAAGAGCCTTAATCCTCACCTAACAATGCATTTGTAAACTTCATGTATTATGTGGTTTATAATGGACTGTGTTGCAGAAACAGTGAGGCTTCCATTTTCCTGTTATCTGTCAGTGGTCATACTCGATGTACAAGATGTGATAGTTTTTGAGATGTTCTTCATTTACTTTGGTTTGTTAGTCCAGGTGAGCCAATAAGTATGATTACAGTACAGTAAAATAATGTATTACAAGAGAATGAAACTTCATGTAACACTTCATTTCTTGATGTCTCTGTTGTTTAATGAACAAGTAACAATAATATTACAATACTAATGGTTTTACTGAATAATCAAGTAAATATAATTTCTTAATATATCAATGTAAAGAAACCTGTTTTCTTGACTGGCAGCTCTCCGCTATCTCACATAGGCCATATTTTGTCCTGTCTCAGGCACCATAGCTATACAACTCGCTTGGATAGGGGAGGGGGGTGCAATTAGCAACTCTCACCACTAGATGCCATAAAAAAAACTTACAAATTGAACCTTTAAAACTATGTAGCTTATTTGTATTTCAATATCTGCTTCTGTTACCAAAGATTAATGAGAGTTGTTTTTTTTTAACATAGCCTACTATTAGTAAGAGTGGTAAAAAGCAAGTAGGATGTGTGTGGCACTGGTAGGGTCATAATGAAGCGTGAATGTATCTAAGCTTAGAGAAATGTGAGAGAGCCAAGGATGCCAGTAACTTTATGGTACCTGGTGCGGCCTGAGCAGAGGTGGACAGGCTTTCAGGGTGGGTGTTCTCAGGGCTGGGGAGCCCTGTGACAGCACAGGACGGAGCCCGGTGAGAGGAAGACCCCTCAGACACGTTAGCCTCGCCACCAACATGGTAACAATATATTATCCTGTAACTTTAGCAGTCTGAAACATAAAATGATCGTCATGTAACGTTAACGTTGACGTTACAGTAACTGAGAGACAGTCATGTAACACAGTGTTTGAACACAAGTATATGTTACGATGAGAGTCACAAAGCAACAACGTAAAAGTACTTAAGCAATAATACTGTCCAGTTAGTTACACAAATAATCGATATAATAATATTTCAGGTTAGTTAACTTAGCAGGCTAACATTAGCTAGCACGACACAACTGCGTAACGTTAGACTTATTTCACTAAAAAGTCATTGGGGACTAACATTACGTTAGCTGTATTTAGTATAGCCAACTAAATTAAATATCACCATTAAATGCACTTTCTGATACACGACTACTCTTTTCAAGAAGCTTAGATGTTACATACCGAGACAGCAACGTTCGTCGTTCACCTTTCTAGAAACAAGTGCGCAGCTTTCTGACGCAATTGTTTTGCAACCTTCGTGAAAATTCTCTGTTAGTGCGTCATCATTAAGCGACAGGTTTGATGGGAATTGTCGTTCTGAGTCGGGCTGCGTTTTATAATCCTTTGATAGGCTACTGTAATAAGTGGTTGAAGAAATATACAGATATCCTAGCAAATAACAATACCAACAAAAATACTCCTTTACAAGTCCTGCATTCAGTAACGTAATAGTACAGATGTTTAATGGATTAATCAGCAAAAGTTTTTTAAAATAGGTAAAGCTATTTACCTATATATAAGCTAAAGTAAAAGTATGACACTCAAAATGCTCAATGGCAACTTTGAGTGTGAATTAATTACACACTATATTGTTGTTTATTCCTACTGATGCAATAATTTGCAAGAGCTATGTGGAGTCCACCATGTCTTCAACCTGAGCCTGAGTCTCCAAAGGTTCCCTGTGCTGTGGAAGACATCTTGCCTCGTGCCTGTGCCAAAGACGCCACGTCCCAGTGACTCCAAGGACTACAGACCTGTGGCACTGACCTCCCACATCATGAATATCATGGAGAGACTGGTTCTGGATCAGCTGCGGCCCATGGTCAGACCTCTCCTGGACCCACTCCAGTTCACCTACCAACCCTGACTGGGAGTTGAGGACACCATCATCTTCCAGCTCAACAGCACCAACGCCCACCTGGATAAGCTGGCGAGCACTGTGAGGGTCATGTTTTTTTCCAATGCTTTCAAAACCATCCAGCCGGCCCTGCTGGGTGAGAAGCTGACAGCGAAGCAGGTGGATGCCCCCCTCGTGTCCTGGATTGTTGACTACCTGACTGGCAGACCACAGTATGTGCGCTGGTAACACTGTGGGTCAGACAGCGTGGTCAGCAACACCGGGACCCCGCAGGGGATTGTCCTCTCTCTGCCTTCCTCTTCACCATCTACACCACAGACTTCAACTACCACACAGAGTCCTGCCATCTTCAGAAGTTTTCTGATGACTCTGCTGTGGTTGGATGTATGAGCAAGGGTGACGAGGCTGAGGACAGAGCTGTAGTGGGGGACTTTGAAGACTAAGGAGCTGGCTGTGGATCTAAGGAGAGCCAAGGCACCAGTGACCCCTGTTTCCAATGTCAGTGTGGACATTGTGGAGGATTACAAATACCCGGGAGTACACAGTGACAATAAACTGGACTGGGCCAAGAACACTTAAGCCCTTTACAGGAAGGCTGTCTCTATTTTCTAAGGAGGCTGAGGTCCTTCAACATCTGCAGGACGATGCTGAGGATGTTTTATGAGTCTGTGGTGGCCAGTTTTATGACTTTTACTTATACCTGTTCTGTGTTCCTGACCCACTCATTTGCTGTGGTATTTAATGCCTATGTTCAGTTCAATCCAGGGGAGGGACTTGGCAGATTCCTCAAGAGTGAAGCTGTCTTGGCTGCTTTTGGTCATCCAGAAATTATGAACAAAGTGAAAATGAAACTCCCTAATGGAGCTTTTGAAAAGAGGCTCAGGTGTCATCCGAGAGTGCTTATCTGAAATTCTGAAATGAGGTCTACAGCAGATGCACTGTGGGTGCCAATGTAAAGGCCCCCTACCTCAGATGCGAGTGCCAAACCCATGAGTGGCAAGCCATTGGAAAAATACTTGTCAAAGGCTGGCCTTTGACAACACCAAAGCGCATGGAAGACATCTTGAAGTTCCCACTGTCCATGAATGCAGCACATAGCTGTGTGGCCACACACCTTAAAAGATATGCTGGGGAACTGGTTTTATTGAAGCCAGCATATTTCAGTGTCATCCAAACACATGTGGATGCCTATGTTCAGTTCAATCCAGGGGAGGGACTTGGCAGATAATTTCCTTGTGTTATGTCGTATGTCCTGTTCCTTTGTGTATTTCCTACTGTTGCGTCTCTGCCTGCTGTGTATTATGTGTTGCACTGTATGGATATTGGATATCACCTGCACCACTTCGCGTACAGCTTAAGTTTCCGTAAGTGTAAAATGAAGATCACTAACTGTACTCTGCTCTTTTTTGTCTCCTTTCTGCACTTGACAAAAACCCTGAACAACAATTTGTACTGTAAATTACATTACTGTTTACATAACACATGTGGACAAAAAAGTATAGTTTGTTTTCATTTAATTTACATTTTGTTAAAAATACCCTTTATCTGTCAGTCTTAAATAAAAGGTTAGGAATTCAGTTTTAGTGTCAAGTATGATTTTGTTGCAGGTGTCAGTTTTTAATTATTTATGAAAAGAGCTGCAATGTGTGACGGCAGTCAGTTTTTTACTGCTTCAGTATATGTTGCAAAAAACCCCACTTTAGGTTTGCATAGACAGGCAACTCCATAAAGCTTCAAGTTAAGTGTTCAAAGTGTTGAATGACAAAGTATTTTCAAATTGACTCACCAGATGGTGTTCTTGATAGTTATACAGAAATGATTGTCATGTGATGTAACAGTTATGTTAACAATAGTCATAGCTTTCTATAATTCACAGCAAATATTGTCAAGCAATGGCTGTTTAATGCAGTTGAAACTTCCTGCATTTCTAAATGGGCCCAGTGTTTAAAGCTACTTCAAATTAAACATCTAACTATGCAAAAAGGTGATTTTCTAATGATAACACCCGTGAGAAAGGTGTAGCTCTCAGGCCAAATCTACAAAAATAAACCAACAAAAGAAATCTTATCATTGCCATCTCATGACACTACTATGTCGAAGTGCAAGAGCAGCAAAAATGTCACTGTATGACATTCTGAAGATAAAAATAAAACTTGATTAGGTGAGTTCTCTCCATTGTACATGGGTGAGAAAAATTGGGCTCATCTCTCATCATTCAGTCTGCAGAGGAGTTGATTGGTTGCCAACTTCCATCTCTTCAGGACCTGTACACCTCCAGGACTCTGAGACGTGCAGGAAAGATTGCGGCTGATCCCTCCCATCCCGGACACAAACTGTTTCAGAGACTCCCATCTGGCAGGAGACTGCGGTCCATCAGGACCAAAACCCCTCACCACAAGAGCAGTTTCTTTCAGTGGGCTTCCTCAACAACGCCCGGGTCCCCACTGTCACTGACTCTCATGCCTCCCTCCCCAAACCGCTAGGTGGAGTGCTTGCCTCTTATTTTCTTGCCACAACATCAATATATAAGGCTTTTAAAAATTTCAAAAGTAACAGCAGATAACAAAAATACAAAAATAACAGCAGAGATTTATAACGTTATCAGCCCGGTACCCCGTCGTTTACAGTGTTTAGCCTATAACGTTTGTTTGCGATCTATTATTACCTGAAACAGGGTCAATGTGAGGGATGGTGGCAGTGCGCCTCCTGCCCGAAGCTCCGCTCCTTCGGACCAAAGTTTCGCATGTGATTCACTGAGACTTGTCATTCAGTTAACCGGGCACCCTGACCTGTAGCCTCCTCCAACATGGCTCCATCTGATCCACAGGTTTTACTCACCAAAACTGGTCAAGCTACTTTTTTTGGACGGGATTGTTTTTCGTCACACAAGTGAAGTAGATCTCGGGGAGTGATGGAATTAATTTATATCCGGAGTCGCTCTTTGAGGAAAGGCTGAGCAACTTCACGGGTTAACCGAAGCCAGGACGCCTTTAGACACCGCAGCTCATCATGAGGGTGGGTACAGAGAGCGGACAAACTGTTCCACATACATTTGAATGACAGCCTACTTTATAAATAACTAAAACCTATAAATTAATAATATCACAAGTGAGGACTTTAAAAATCAGTGACATCATAAAATTCAATGAATTCACCCCAAAATCTCTCTCACAAAGCGCGTGAGTTCACTTGGCCGGTTTGTCCTTGTGACCTTTAAATGTAGCACATGCTTCAGCATTTTAGAAGTCTAACTTTTTCTGCATTAAGGCTACTGTCCAACCTGTTCATGAACAAGTATGACTGCAAATGTGCTCGCCAGGTCACTTCCCTGGATTTTGCGAAATACCACATGTGGTTCATTTCTTTAATTTATAAATATGCTGCGCTTCATCTGTTGTCCAAGTGCTAGGCCTACATCACATTGTCCCTTTATCAACAGGGAGGAATTTCGGCTATACTCCCATCTCCGTAATGCTCCACTGCGTAAGCTGCTCCTCTCCCCACCACCATCCCTGCCCAGAAATGTTCTCCTGAATTTATAAATTGCAGTTCAGTATTGCGATCATTTGCCATGTTGATGTAGTCACACTTAAAAAAAAAAATGTTATGAGAAATCCATATAGTAAGTATTTATGACCATCTCTAACAAAAACCTGTTCAAAAGTTTAACTTCCTAAATGAGTTCACTCATTAAAATGTTACCAGAGAGGCCTTATAACCATCAATGAAAGGTACCTCTACCACCAGTTAATCTGACCAAGAACAAGCTTTTAAAGACAAATGGATAATGACTGAATACAGCCCACCTTGTTTTATTTACAATCATGATATTGTGTAGGCCAATATGATAATTGTAAAAGTCAATTCAGAAACAGTTTATAGATAAAACAACAAGATGGGAATGTCTGGACACTTTTAGTGAATTGAATATCTGAAGTAGCTAAAAGGACCTATTTCATATAGTTTTAATCCATAGCAATGTATCCTGTTTTATTTGTTGATGATGTGTTTTGTATTTAAAATCCTACATTTGAAAAGTCAGTAGAATCAAATAAATGTAGTGTAGGTACAGTGTTTCCTTAATTGATCTATAACATTGCTCACAATGACTTCAAACCCCCCCCACCCCCCCCACCCCAGAAATATTACAAAGATAGATACCTTAGTACAATAGGTATAGATAAATTCCCCCCCATGAGAAATTTTGTGCCATATTGTCTTTCTCTGCAATTATTTTTCTATAATGCTATTAATATGTTATTTTTATTACGTTGAGACACATCAACCTGTAATTAGGTTATCGTGCCTACATACTGCACTTCAGAGAAAAAAAAATAAAACTAATGAAAATTATGTTCTGTATATATAGTGTTTATGTGCAATACTCGGGCACTTGCAATATCTCAGGCAAAGTAGGTTTGGCTGGGTGGAG